ACATCACCTTACACGAAATTGGGTGAATACATCTCATATTAATGATTTACTGGTAGTCACGAGAACAATACTTAATTCGAAAAATTAATATCTACAATATATATAAGTAGAATTTTCCCACAATTTTCCATTCAATTTTACATAGCCTTGCTTTCCCCTTTCTTTATCAGTCCTTTATCACCTTAAACGAAATTGGGTGAATGCATATCATATTATAGATATTAAGTCAAAGCCCCGGTGTGATCTGGCCAAGATCGTGTCTCCGGAATACTTTCAAAAACTCCAGAGCATGACCGTCAAGAAATCACGTAGGATTTCTGACTTAATAACAAAACGGGAAAACGTTAAATAGCGTTAAATAGCCTAAATTAAAACCAGTACGCCCAGTTGAAGTGGCTATCGAGGTGACAACACCTGATCAGCACGGCGATAGGAAGAAAGTATTAAACTTATCGTCAATTCCTCTCAATCCCGAGACAACCGTGTTCCTGTAAAAAGGACTCAACTTTTCAATTCAACCTGATAGAAAGCGTCTAGGATACATATCTCCGAAAATTTCCCTGAGGCGACAAAACGGTAAATGGAGATGAAACTAATTGCAAACATCTTGACACATCAGGAGCCAACACACAGGAACAACTTTGCCAGGATGCGCAAGACCATGGAAACGAATGAATAATTATTCCTTCAGGCAGATAAGGGAGGAGCGACAGTGATAATGGACAAAAACAGTACACCGAGAAGATGGAATATATTATACGAGACAGGACAAGCACCCAACAATGAAGATCAATGGAATCTTAAGTGACAGACGACGCATTACCGAAGATACACAACGAAGGAGAGTCACTAAGGCTGACAATTAGCAACAGGTAGGGAGAAACACACAACTTAGCAAAGTTTATATGTTTGAAGCTATCAAACACGGTGAAATATTGGTGTGAAATTTCTTAAAAAATCAAAAACATGGCACTGGAAGAAACGGACATCTTCAGAGCAGGGTACCATGTGACGATGTCCGTGACATGAAGGACGAAAGCTCAGCAAGAATTCAGCGCGGTCGCAGGGCGGTGCGCCAAGGAGCTGATCGCACAAATCTACAACTACAGCTCCACAACGACAGTCTGCGGTGGAGTCGAATTAAGAATTCGACTTCCACTCGCCTCTATTCAAACGAAATGAAAGGTACTCCAACATGAATCTGTTAAATAATTATTCGAAACCCAGTTTTATACATAACTTCGAACTTGACAACACAGCCACGGGTGCCAGTGGGTCACGGGTCAGTTCGACCTTATTCACATCATATTTCTTAAACAGTGGGCTTGTCTATTAAATAAACCTGTGCCTAATTGCACTACTTATTATTGAAATAAGTAGTTTTTGAGATTATCACATTAGATTGTAGAAAAACTCAACTATCAGTCCCTCAGTCAGCCTAAGCGACCTGTGCTGACTCAGTTCGTAGATTATGAGTCCTCCGGAGGGGTCGCAGATACGGCAACGCCGAGCCCTCTAATGGGGAGGCTTTAGACGGGATTCGGCGTCTCCCGGACCCGGTTGGGGAGAAAAGGAGACAAAGAAGGAAAAGGGGGAAAGGGGGGAAATTGAGGCGAGTGTCAGTCGTCACCACAAGCCGGCCGGATGTGAATTAGATCCGACTTGGGCAAATCGCGCCTCCCGCCAGCCACTCAGCGCCTCCGCATGTCAATGCGCACTTTGTGTGTATGTGTGTATGTGTTTATGTGTTTACACACACATGCATACCTTCAAACATATAGTCTCTGATACAATCATATATGCCTACATATAAGCACTCATTCATCCATAAATAAATAAATTAATTAATTCACTTATGCATACATGCAAACATGGACATACGCACGCGCAGATACGGCCGGGTACAGGAGTAGAGAGGTAGGTGATTATGCAGGCGAACACGAGAGCAAATCAGCTGTAGCCCTGGTAGAAAGTGGAGGCAATTGGTTACGGCGACAAGGCAGACGTCGCCAATTGCGCGCATGTGTGCACGTGGCCTTGTTTGTTTTGATAGTCCATTGTTGTCACTATGGCCACGTTGTCAGAAGGTGTAGCCCGACTCTGGAGGGCATTCCTCGTCAGGTTGACCGGCCGCATCAAGACCCACCCTGTCGCCGGCTCCGCTTGTCTCTCTTTTTTCCCCTCTTACCTCGTGACACACCAACCCACCGACCCTCCGACCCACCAACCCACCAACCGGGCTCCCAGGCCAGCGGTCTGCAACCGGCCGTCAGCAAGTCAGATGAGTCCACGAGGTCGTAGTCTAGGCATACACACATTGCTGCCATTGATTTTAGCCCCCGTAACCTGGACACCGCCTCTACCAGTAGTAGAGTCCGACCAATGGACGTAGTCGTGTAATCGATACTAGGGTGTCGTCATCCGAGGGGGTTTTCACCATCCTACCGAACCGACATGATGATGATGATGATGATG